CCATCATCCATCCATCATCCATCCATCATCCATCCATCATCCATCATCCATCCATCATCCATCCATCCATCTCCACCCATCTCCACCCCTCCCCACCTCTCCATGCCCCCATCCCCACTCCCCTCCCGCCGTCTCCGCCCTCACTTGGTGAAGTTGGCCAGGTTCTGGATGACCTTGGCGATGAGGGTCAGCGTCCTGGCCGTCTGCTCGTCGGGGTACTCCTGCATCAGCCCGAAGAGGCTGGGGGACATCACGGCGGGGCACAGGAAGCGCAGGAAGAGTGAGGCGCTGATCAGGCGGTCGGCGATGTCCTCGCGCCCGCGCTCGGCGCAGCGCAGCCGCCACGAGGCGAACACCTCCTTCAGCTCCCGCGGGAACACGCTGCCGGCGGCACGCGGCGTCACGCGCGCGCGCGCCGCCGGGGACCTTCCCCCGCGGCCGTCCCCGCCGCGCGCGCCCCCCGCCGCGCTCACCAGTGGGAGTTGACCACCTTGCAGAGCGCCAGCTCGCAGCACATGCGCAGGTTGGCCTGGTGGTCGGCCAGCGTGGAGGCCGAGCACTTCATGGGGTCCACCTCGCAGTTCTCCTCCGACTCGTAGAGCGCGCGGATGAACTCGCCTGCGGCGCGGGCGGGGCCGCGCGGGGACGCCCACGGGGACGGCGAGGGGGAGAAGGGACACAATCGTGTCCTGGGTGTGAGAAGGGACCGCCCAAGGAGCGCGTGGTGGTGGTGATGGAACGTGACCATGGGTGGGGAACACCCAAAGAGCGCGTGGTGGTGGTGATGGAACGTGACCATGGGTGGGGAACACCCAAAGATCTCGTGGTGGTGGTGATGGAACGTGACCATGGGTGGGGAACACCCAAAGAGCGCGTGGTGGTGGTGATGGAACGTGACCATGGTGGGGGAAGAAAGATCTCCTGATGGTGGTGAAGGAACATGACCATGGGTGGGGAACACCCAAAGGGCGCGTGGTGGTGGTGATGGAACGTGACCATGGGTGGGGAACACCCAAAGAGCGCGTGGTGGTGGTGATGGAACGTGACCACGGGTGGGGAACACCCAAAGATCTCGTGATGGTGGTGATGGAACGTGATCATGGGTGGGGAACACACAAAGATCTCCTGATGGAGGTGATGGAACGTGACCATGGGTGGGGAACACACAAACATCTCGTGATGCTTGTGATAGAACGTGACCATGGGTGGGGAACACCCAAAGAGCGCGTGGTGGTGGTGATGGAACGTGACCACGGGTGGGGAACACCCAAAGATCTCGTGATGGTGGTGATGGAACGTGATCATGGGTGGGGAACACACAAAGATCTCCTGATGGAGGTGATGGAACGTGACCATGGGTGGGGAACACACAAAGATCTCCTGATGGTGGTGATGGAACGTGACCATGGGTGGGGCACACCCAAAGAGCGCATGGTGGTGGTGATGGAACGTGACCATGGGTGGGGAACACACAAACATCTCGTGATGCTTGTGATAGAACGTGACCATGGGTGGGGAACACCCAAAGAGCGCATGGTGGTGGTGATGGAACGTGACCATGGGTGGGGAACACACAAACATCTCGTGATGCTTGTGATAGCACGTGACCATGGGTGGGGAACACACAAACATCTCGTGATGCTTGTGATAGCACGTGACCATGGGTGGGGAACACACAAACATCTCGTGATGCTTGTGATAGCACGTGACCATGGGTGGGGAACACACAAACATCTCGTGATGCTTGTGATAGATCGTGACCATGGGTGGGGAACACCCAAAGATCTTGTGATGGTGTTGATGGAACGTGACCATGGTGGGGGAACAAAGATCTCCTGATGGTGGTGATGGAACATGACCATGGGTGGGGAACACCCAAGGAGCGCGTGGTGGTGGTGATGGAACGTGACCATGGTGGGGGAACACCCAAAGATCTCGTGATGGTGGTGATGGAACGTGACCATGGGTGGGGAACACACAAAGATCTCCTGATGGTGGTGATGGAACGTGACCATGGGTGGGGAACACCCAAAGAGCGCATGGTGGTGGTGATGGAACGTGACCATGGGTGGGGAACACACAAACATCTCGTGATGCTTGTGATAGAACGTGACCATGGGTGGGGAACACCCAAAGATCTTGTGATGGTGTTGATGGAACGTGACCATGGTGGGGGAACAAAGATCTCCTGATGGTGGTGATGGAACATGACCATGGGTGGGGAACACCCAAAGATCTCGTGGTGGTGGTGATGGAACGTGACCATGAATGGTGACCACTCAAAGAGCGCATGATAGTGGTGATGGAACATGACCATGGGTGGGAACCAAAGGTCTTGAGATGGTGGTATTGATGGAACATGACTGTGAATGGGGACCACCCAAATGTCTCGTGATGGTGGTGATGGAATGTGACCATGGGTGGGGAACAAAGATCTCGTGATGGTAGTGATGGACACTGGAACCATTCAAAGATCTCGTGATGGTGGTGAAGGAACGTGACCGTGAATGGGGACCACCCAAAGAGCGCCTGATGGTGGTGATGGAACGTGACCACGAGTGGGGAACAACCGTCTTGTAATGGTGATGGAACCTGGAGCCACCCAAAGATCTCATGATGGTGGTGATGGAGCATGACCATGTGTAGGGAGCACCCAAAGGTCTCGTGGCGGTGGTGATGGAACCTTGAACCACCCAAAGATCTTGTGATGATGGTGATGGAGCTTGACCATGAGTAGGGACCATCCAGTAACCTCATGGCCATGAGTGGGGATCACTCAAAGATCTCATGATGATGGTGATGGAACATGACCTTGAGTGGGGACCAAAGACCTCGTAATGGTGGTGATGGAACCTGGAACCACTCAAAGATCTCATGATGGTGGTGATGGAACATGACCATGGGTGGGGACCAAAGGTCTTCTGATGGTGGTGATGGAACCTGGAACTACTCAAAGGTCTCATGATGGCGGTGACGGAGCATGACCATGAGTAGGGACCATCCAATGACCTCATGGCCGCAAGTGGGGATCACTCAAAGATCTCATGATGGTGGTGATGGAACCTGGATCACCTCACAATGGAGGTGATGGAACATGACCATGGGATGCTGGTGATGGAACGTGACTGTGAGTAGGGACCATCCAATGACCTCATGATGATGGTGCTGGAACCTGGAACCACCCAAAAAATCTCATGGCCATGAGAAGAAACCACCCAAGATCTCATGGTGGTGGTGATGCAACCGGGATCACCCAAGGATCTCATGATGGTGGTGATGGAAGCTGGCCATGAGTGAGGACCACCCAAGATCTCGTGATGGTGGTGATGGAACATGACTGTGAATAGGGACCACCCAAGGATCTCATGATGGTGGTGATGGAACCTGGCCATGAGTGAGGACCACCCAAGATCTCGTGATGGTGGTGATGGAACTTGAAAATGACTGGACACCACCCAATGACCCCATGGCCATGAGTGGGGACCACCCAAGATCTCGTGATGGTGGTGATGGAACATGACTGTGAATAGGGACCACCCAAGGATCTCATGATGGTGGTGATGGAACCTGGCCATGAGTGAGGACCACCCAAGATCTCATGATGGTGGTGATGGAACCTGGACGTGACTGGGCACCAGCCAATGACCTCATGGCCATGAGTGGGGACCACTCAAGCATGCCATGACCAAGGGAAGAGGCCACCCAACCTTGTCATGGCCACCTGTAGGGCCACCCAATGACCTCATGATGGTGGTGATGGAACCCGGTTGTGAGTAGGGACCACCCGACCACCTCATGACCACAAGGGGCCACCCAACCACGGCACGGCAGCAAGTGGGACCACCCAATGACAACATGAGAAGGAACCACCCAAACATCTGATGGCCACGAGTGGGACCACCCACCCCACCACAGCCCTGCCAACGAGGCCATGCCCCCACCGGTGCCCCCGGTGCCGCTGGCACTCACCAATGGCGTCCTTGAGGTATTTCTGGCCGATGAGCTTCAGGTACTCCTCGATGGCTTTGGTGGCCAAGGTGTTCTCCCGGAAGATCAGGTGCTCCCGGTCCATGAAACGATCCACCTCCGTCATGGCCATGTCCGACAGGAAGTCCTGCCCACGACCGTCAGCGCGGCCCGGCGCCGGACATCCCTCTGTCCCATCTCCATCATCCATCCATCCATTGTCCATCCATCCGTCATTCATCCATCATCCATCCATCATCCATCCATCATCCATCATCCATCATCCATCATCCATCCATCATCCATCATCCATCCATCATCCATCCATCCATCCATCATCCATCCATCATCCATCCATCATCCATC